AGACAGACAGCGCTATTGCTGCGGCGGTGGCCACCATCGACCTCACGCCCTACTGGACCATCGCCCAGGTGCAGGCGGCTATAACGGCGGCGCTGGTGCCGGTGACGCTCAGCAACGGACAGAACTGGAACGGCGGGGCTACCTTCAATTTGCTCCGAGCCAAGGAGGAGGAGTGGGAAGAGTGGGACGACGATTGGGTTGACGAAGAAGCCGTCCCCGAAACTCCCCCACCCCCAACCCCGAAACTCCCCCACCCCCAAAGGAAACTAGCACCAGTGACCGTCGCGAACCGGCAGGCAGCACTCAAGCCAGCACTCTGGACAGCGCAGGGGTTGGGCCTGCGGCCAGCTCTATCCTGAGCCAGGTCTATGTGCCATTCGACTTTGGGCAGCCGCCTCCCCGGCCCCTTAAATACTACCGCGACCACAAAATTTCCAAACGCCTCTCAGTCTCCCTTCGCCATGACAAAGGCGATTTCAACCTGGACTTCAGAAGGAATATGGCGGCGCCATTGAGCCAACTGTTGGCCCACCGAATCATGACAGAGGTGCAGGTCAGCCAAGAAGAAGTCATAGCGGTGGTGTATCACAGTGAGAAGCAGAGATTTCGCCTGCTCTGGGAGGGCGGCCCAGACGGAGAGCTGCTGATCGGTGCAGTTCAGGGGCATTCGGTGGTCGTCGACAACGCCTCGGTACACAGCAGGGTCGACCAGGATAAGGTCCCCTTTCTCACCCGCGACGCACTACGACTTTTACCGCAATATTGCCCGAGACGGCCTCCGAGCAGGCGGTGCGGCCGGCAAGGCCCACCAAGCACAAGTGCACTGTCTCCCCGACTGCAAGGACAGCGAGCAGTACTACCCGGAGAAGGCCGATGTGATCCTCCGCATCAACCCGGCCCTTGCCAACTGCGCATGGTTCATGTCGGCAAACGGGTACTACCTGACGGATGATACGGTGCCCCCGGAGTCCATAGTGGCAGGCAGTCATCATCAGGGCCACAGGGGAAGAGGCTGCCTACAGATGGTAAGGCGCCCCCACCTAAGGCAGATGTTTTGAAAGGGGTGCTGAAAGCTCACCTTTCCGGCCGTGCCTCGGCCCCGGGCGGCCGTGCTTCGGCCCCACCTCGCACGACTCGGGCAAACGCAACGCACCGTCGAGCATACATGGCTGTCTTGCTTTCAGATGTTTCTGCTGCATGGCCACATAAGTTTGTCAGGCAGTTTGCATTCCGATAATTAATCATATTGAAAAATGCCTATTGGCAGGAAGCGGAATATTTTGAAGGTATGAAATGACAAAGCCCATGCGCACTCACTCGGACAACCCTCTGTCTTTTTCAGT